TTTCTCATCATATCACTATTCTAAATCAATTCTTTCCCCAAAAAATCCCTACCAAACAAGCTCTAAAATTGCATTCTAATCCTCGAATGTCATCAATGAGCGTGACATTAAACGAACGGACGCTAATTTCTTAAATCACGAATAATGACAATAAAAACCCATAATACCTATGAACCATTTTAAGAAGAATAATGCTAGGTAACCCCCACTTTTTCTTAACATCACTCATATTTAGCCCAAGTAGTTACCAAATTGATTAGTAATGTTAAGATGCAAGGTTCATAGTCACCTATTGATGCTAATCATGAGCGATATTATGTAGCATTACTCTTTTAGTTTGTTTACTACCTAGTTTACACCTATATCCATTCCCACTTGCCTCAATTTCCAACACAATTTCAATAAAAATTCTATGTTTCTTTTGCTTATTTTCAAATTTGATTCTGTTTTGTATTAATTTTGTGAGTAGTGATTAAGTCATTAAAAGTTAATTTCCAAAAACTCCACATTGTAGAATTTGGTTGCTAATGATGCCTAGCAGAAAACTGATCTCGTTTACATTATTGGAAATGGCAGGTTCTTGTGATGCACTGTAGAATGCAAGGTGTAAGAAAGCAGTACAGAAGCGTTGCTTTAACTTCTGTGGCATATGCAGCAGCAAGTGCTGTTCCTTCGGGAACATTGAGGAAAACGAGTCGGAGTGCCCTTGTTACAGAGACATTCTCAATTCCAAAGGCAAACTCAAGTGCACGTAAAACCTCGTGTCCTCCAAATGTTTTTTCGATTAGAAAAGATTCTACTACACGAATTTGTAACTATGTTCAAAAACAACTTGGTTAATTTCAACTGCTTCTCATGTAGTAGTAGTAACATGTTCGTACTTTTGAGCTCTTCTGTGAAACTTCTTCGCGCAGCTAGGCATATATGCAAATTGACAAAATAATTGGGGAGGGAGCTTTAAACAGGGAATGAGGGACAAGAGCATATATAATATGTCACATAGTACATTAGTGTGTC